CTAACCATTCTATGATTCTGTGATTCTATAAGAGCTGATGAATTAAATGAGCGTAATGGGGGATGCATGAACCAAACCAGCACATGATAAAAAAATCTACAAATCTTCAAAATGTACAAACACCAGGGATCTGAAAGGAGGAGAAGGATAAAGGAGGATTGTGTGAAGCGTACTAAAGGAAGAAATAAAGAGAAAGCAAGAATATAAAATGAATACCAATTTTAAAAAATTACCTCTAAGCTATGGAATAGTTTTTCAGTGGTAGAGGAGAAAGCTGTTATTTGTGACATATTAATCTAGAATTGACAAAGCACTGAATCATGCAGTCACGTACAGCCCTAGACTGGCCTGGAGACAGACTGGATGACATAACTTTTCCATCTGTAACATCTATTACACTGTGCTGTGGGGTTTGTCTTTGAAAGATGGTGCTCAGCAGTACACAAATCTGTGGGGAAATGGGGAAGTATAACAGATAAATGGTTTCATTCATATTTTTCCAGAAATTATGCTCTTTTGTGTAGGTTTGGAGCCGTATTTTCAAACACATTCCTTCTCAGGTACCTGGATAAAGAGTCAATGCTAAACTACACTGAAGTTAATCTACTGGAGACCTCTGCGAGATCTCAATGTACATGTGGTACATTAAAATGAACAAACACACACACAAAAGCCATGCTTAAAGCAAGAGCCAGCACACCCCATTTCTCACCTGCAGTTCCAGAGAGTTCCACACTTAAGGTTTGTTCAATAGTCTTGTTCTCAAATGGGGAACCCTTGGGATCACTGGAAGACAGGGCACATTTATAAAAACAAGCTGAAATGGAGTTGCTGTAGCCAAAATCTATTGAACCCCCCCTCCCTTTTATAAATGTTTGCACTTTTTAGTACTTACTTTGGTGACTCGGGCGTCAATGGAAGTGATAAACTTGTTGGTTTGGCTAAAAGGAAAAAGAAAGCGATTATGGAATATTTAAACACTCCAGAACATATACTAAAAAGATTTATTTTTATTTTGGAGCTGGAATCCCATGTTAGTCAGTTAGGGCTGAGCTCTGATAGTTCAATGGCCATTTCAGTGTATCTTAGATAGATAAATAAGGAGACCCATCCTGATTCCTTATTACTGGTACCAAAAAGGCACATAAATTTCAACAATGATTTACATCAATTACTATGCCTCTGAAATACAGTAGGCAACCCAAATGCCAAGAACCTTTCAGAACAAGAGTAGTTAAAAATCAATGAAGAACTCTACAGGATACACTGTGAAAATGTGATTTCTCTTAGAGTTAATTTAGACTACAGTTCACGTTTTGTTTGGAAACAGAAGCAGCAGAATAACTATGAAGTAACAGAACGTTATGAATATTCAGTCAATTTTACTTCTACAATATACAATTTTACATATAGCACTGAGAATAGGTTGCTTCTATGAGGCCGGAGTCCAACCAGTTATAGTCCAAATTTCTGCAAATTATTCTGCAAACTATGACAAGCCACGGACATAGTCACAGATGGTTAAAAATGAGGTTGAAGCTCTCAGCAATACAATCCCAACATACACAAAAAACAAAGCCCTAGCTATAAAAATACACATCTTTGTAGCTTTTATTCATGCAAACTTGTATTTTCCCAAAGCAAGCCAAGAACTCGGATATTGTAATACAGCTAAGATTCCTTTAATTGCCAAAGAAATGTTTAAAAATTAAAATAATATTACTTGCAAATTTTACTTTTCAGAAGTTAGATTGATGTTTAAACGCAGAGAGCGTTGTACCAAGAACAACAGCAGGGGATCTCTTTGGCAGAGTAATTACTTAAGACAAAATGTTCCCCTTGAACACTCCTGCACTGCAGATCTTTTGTCCAGAGTGTCACTACTGCGTATTTTGTATTCATTCCAGGCTTGAAGCTCCCATCAACATTAAAAGGATTTTATATGCAAATTGATTACTTTTATAAGCTCTAGAGCATTCCTGAAGTAGTACTGCATTTATTTTTTTTTTTAAATTAACTCAATTCTCAAGAGCTGCATATTGTTTCTCCTCCTTCCCATATGAAAGTTAGAAATGGAAGCTCAGGTGTTCACCTCGGGTTCACCTTCCTCAGAAGTCACCGCCAGACTGAGGAGACGCACCTCAACGAGTTATTTGTCTGATCCAGCATTGCTGCTGATTTGTGCATAAAAACAGGTGCCGTAAGACTGAATGTAACCTGACACATCTTTGTGTATATTTCATATATGCTAAGGGTTTGCAAGTGGATACCTAGAGGTCAAACTGGCTTAAAAAAACCCAAACAAACAGGCCTTACAGTAAGGCGCTGGAATAAAGTTTTATATATAGGCTTACACGTTTTTTTTAGAGGATAAAGAAGCAATTGCTGTTCAAGGAATTTAGGCTTTCTAAGGAAGTTGAATGTGTAAGCCTCTAGAAAGTCTCTGTCTAGCTCTTACTAGGCCCAGAGAATAGCCCCACATCAGCATATATATAAAATTCTGTAGCACTGAGGTACAGAGCAAACCTGCCAGAGGTGGGCACAGAAACAAGGCATTATCTCACAGTACTTCATTTTAGGCAGATATCACTGAGCAATCCCACTGAGAAATTCACATACCAAAATACCCATCGGTTTTCTTATTGCTAGGCAAGGGCTTGACCAAACAGTATTCCTGCAAAGGAGTCATCCTCACATACAGCTATTGATAGAGTAAATATTTAGCCAAGACACTATCATTTTCCATGGTGCCTGTTTATTAGAGTTTCAAGGTCTACCATAGCGTGGCTTTTTCTTAGTATAAAAAGGTTCACATGAAGCTGCTTGTCCCTGTAAATTGAAAACATTCAGGTTCAAAAGAACTAAGTTTCCTCATGGGCAAATTTCAGTACAAAACTACAGATGATCTTTGGCATGAATGGATTTGTGGACATTCCCGTGGGTTTGCAATATGTTTGCAACAGTAACCCTAAAGGAAAATACAGTTTGACTTATCCTTCCTGAGCTTTCCCTAACTTTGAAAGAAAATATCAGACCCTGATTATTTTTTAAAACAGAAGGAGCCTTGTACTTTTGATTAAATGTACGAACAAATGACTGCAAGTCTGTAAATATCAGTTAAATTTGCAGGTTGATTCTTCAGGAATTGACTGTCCAATCTGAAAGCATTATATTCTTATATTTGTATTATACGCAAATCCATTGATATTGAAGTCATATATTGGTGTATGAGACAAATTTGATGAAAAAACAACATTTCAGAAGCCTGTAAATTAAACTGCAGGAATTAAAGAAGAGGATAATTTCCCTCTGCCTGCAATTTCACCTGCAATACCACTACAGTCACAGTCATCTGCTAAAACACTGCTAAGTTAGAGATATGTCCCTTTGGTCTTCCCTCACCTCTCCTTCTGTGCTGTTTCCACAACCCAGTGTGCCCTGCTTCTTTGTACTGAACCTACAAAGCTGCCTCAGCTGGGGAAAAAATGCAGTTCTGATCTGACTAGGAAGATTTATAATCTGTATTTATATGTGAGTGCACATCTTTCTATGTATGTAACGTGCATATAGCATGTTACACACAATATACTTTGTCAGGTATCCCTGTAACACCCAACAGTGTTAATAAAGCTCCCTGTAACTTCTGGCAGGTCTGTGTTTCAGTACCATTGTAGTAAGAGACACAGGTTTTACATGAACAGTTCAGTCTGGATTTTGCTAAGAAGCAGACTGCTGAAGCCATCCAGAAGGAGTGGCAGTTGGCATCCAAGAAGCTCTAGGGGCAGTTGGATTTCCTTCTTACAATACACATTGTTCAGAGAATTTGAGACCATAATGGGGAAAACTATACTTAGGATGTCAGAATGTACAGCTGCAAGAAAGGTGGGAAGGAAAGATCATTTTTATTAAGTTTGCTTATACTTCGTAGTGAAGGGTGAAAAATTAGATTTGATTTGGGCTGAAAATGCAGGGAGGGGAGAAGGGAAAAGAAATAAAAACATATACAATTGTTGTTTTAAAAATACCAGAAAAAACACATTTAGGGTCATGCCCTGACCTCTGTTGCAGCCAAATACCTTCCATTGGCTTTAGTGGAGTCATCCAAGATTTGCACTAATGTGACCGAGATAGATAGGCACTTGGCCTTCTAGATGCCAGCCCAATATATGCATGTAGATACATTTTAACGACTTAATAACAACAACTTTAAAAAAGCTCCCTTTGGGCTGCTAAGCTTTTACAGCTTTCCTTTATCTTGGGAAAACAGGCAGGGGAAGAAGGGGAGAGAAAACAGGAGAGGGGGCTTTAAGTTCTTGCATCTCTGTCATAGATGCTACTTGTAATATAGACCAGTTCTTTATGTGTTGAGGGATACTGAAAGTCCACACAAGTGTTTAGTTTTGTCCATAAAGAATCTAGAAAAAGAGAGAAAGATCAGGATGGCAGCTAAACTTTCAACTATTTACAAAATAAAATTACAAACCAGCATTCCAGCTTTAACAGGAATGACACGTTTATTGCTTTCTCTGTAGCAGTGAGAGCACTATTTATTGTCTCTTAAGGACTACATGGCAAGTTAACAATGCCTTCAGCTTTACACTAGCAAAAAAGAAAGCAGCTCACTAATGAACTGGCCTGCCCAGCTTGTTTAGGGGTATAATGATTTCTTAGTGGTACAGTACTCTCTGAGTAAGTATCTCCGGCTAGCTGAGTATATTAACACGTGGTATTTGATAAACTTTTTTCCCCAAAATTCTTTTTCTGAGGCTAGGGGCAATAGAGACTGGATTAAAACTGTTTAAGAGCTAAATCTAGCTAACTAATTCTAACTTCATTATACTGTTTTAAAATTCTCCCTATGCAGAAGAGATGCTGGATTTACAATACTAATCAAAAGAATGTAAGAGGTATCGAGGGTATCCACAGCCACAGTACTTCAGCTCCCCTGCGTTACTGCTAGTAACAACATCATGTTCTGTGGTCCCACACCTACCTTGCAGATGATTTGTCTGAGACTGCAGATGAGGCTTCCTTTTGGAGGTGCATTTCTCTTTGCTGCTGTTCCTGTTCTCTGCTGGTTTGGTCTGAGGAGGGTCATCATTCGTAGTCAGATATTTGAGAAGTTCAGAGCAGGGACGTCTTTGAGGCTTTTGCTGTTGACAAATGCTCTTCGTTTTATTGCTCCATGAATTCTCAGTCTTAAAACCAGGACATAATAAATAAAATAAAGTAAAATAAAAGAAAAAGCTAAAATTAGTGAGCTGAACCTTATCAGAATGGATATAGGTTTTCTGAAGAGATGAGATTTTCAATGAAGTGTTCAGTCTTAAGTGTACTAGATCTATGAGCTGTGAATAACTGTTTGCAGAACAAGGAAAGAAAATTACATTTAAAATTCCTAAATGACATTTATGCAGCTTTTTATTTCATTTCTCCTACATTTCTATGTTCCTACTCAGCAACATGTAACTAACAAGACCCTACAGCGCCTTTACTGGGAACAAAAAAATAAGCTGGTTTAAACCTTAATTTGCTGCTGATTGCTTGAGCCCAGAATTCACAACTCTCTTAAGTACCCCTAAACGCTCTGTTTTCAGTTACAGTGAATGGCAAGACAAACATCGTTTAATACTGCCTGCTAACAGAATTATGCCAGAGCCCCCATTCTATCCAATTAATGGCTAATATACATCTTTTGCCAAGAATCCAGTGTCATTTTTCTTAGCTCAGACAGTTGGTAAAATGGCAGTCCCGCATCCTGGAGTCAGTCATAAACATCACCAGCCCATCAGCAAATATTATCATAGCCCCTACTACTCTGTGTATCAATAGAGTAGGCCAGAGTAACAGACGGGGGACTACAACTGCCAAAGGAAAAAGCATAAATGAAATATTCAGAGCAAAAAGGAGCTCAGGTGATTTTCTGGCACCCAGTCTATAATCTGTTCACTTTTTTTAAAAGCAGTTGCAAGATACTAGGCAAATTAATGCAATACATACAGATCTATTGCTTGCTTGGTTGCTGAAAGCATAGAAGACCTTGTTATACTTTATCTTTCTTTTTTCCCTGTTACAAAGATTAAGTTTGTACCTTAACAACCACAGGGCTTGTTCTGATCCTGTGATTAGTGTTTGCATGGTTTTGTGTGCTGAGACCACTGCATTCATTGTAATTTAGCTGAGTGTTGGCTGGAGCCAGCAAGAGCTTCTTAAGCTACAAACACATCAGGGAAAGGGAGGTGGAAGAAAAAGAGTAAAGTTAGGCATCTTTATAGATTAAAATGATTTATCTACATTTTTGCATAGTTACTTAAAGTTAGCTATACCAATTCAGCAAGCAAAATACAATGTAATAGAAAGCAGGGCTTGATATTTCCCAGAACAGGTTTCATTTTATTCTGGCTTGGCAGCGTATTTCTGCTCCCTTTACTGCAGTATACTGCAGGGCAAGCGGAAATGACAGGGGTTTTGGATTTCTGAATCCATGGCAAAATGAAATTCTCAGTGATCTGTCTGACAGAAAAGGCCTCTGATCTAGACAGAGATGTTAACTTTAACAGACTAATGGATACAGTGTCAAGATGCAGGTACCTGGCTCTGCTCTCACAGAAGCCAGTGATAAGCGGCTTTCAGCAGATACAGAACCACATCTCAAACTGGTTTTACTGAGCAAAATGCGTGTCAGGTTTCACACACATCCTCACCCAAGGTTCAGTTTTGCCCTGATTAGCACTAAGCTGGTGCTTACTGGTCAAATCAATGTTAAAGGCACAAAATTAGCCCCACATCCCGCCAGACTCAATGGGTCTTTCTTCACAGATCACCAAAAGTGACATTTAAACACACATACAAAAAACAGCCCCAAGAAATGAAATACGTATTAAAAACCATTACCCTGACTTATCTGAGCAAAATGATAAGCAAAAGTGTCAGCCATTAGCACAAGAATCTCAAAACCAATCTCTTCAACACACTTGTTTAACAGATTGCCTATACTGGTGGGCTGTTTTCCCCCACTTAATTTTCAGTTCTTTACTTGATTTTCCTTTCCAGTCTAAATTAAAAGTCCAGACCTTACTGTGACTACATCATACCCATGCAGCGGGTAGCCAGAGGCACATCCAATTCCTGTTAAACAGTAGGAAGGGTTCTTACTAGAGACGGCTCTTCTGCCTCCTGAGTTGGAGGGGTGCCGTCGGGCATTGGCGAAGGGCTAGCGGCATTTTCGTTGGTCACATCTCCATCTGTCAGTGCATCAAATGAAGGCAATCCATCCTCATCCACGGGGATGCTGTCCAGCGTTTCAGTGAGAACGGCTAGCAAGTTTGCCTCGCTCTCTTCATCTATCTTCTGTGGGAGGGGACAAAACAAAAAGCAGAACCAGGTGAGAAAAGGATAAAGGTGATGCCTCTGAATGTGAAAAAACTGTCAAAACTTAGTTAAACCAGCCCTTCAAGCAGTAACCTGCAACAGAACCTGAGAAGATGTAATTAAGTGCAATAAAATGATCCATCTCTGCATTCAAGAGAAATCTTTTTGCACTTACAGTGTATTGCTCTGGCTTACTTTTCTTCAACAATTCTTTTTATTTTTTAATCAGGTGTGAACAATGGTAAGTAATCACCCAGGGATTGTATTACAGGATGCACCCAAGCTGCTGACACCTAATGATGGTGTCAGCCCAGGCTGTCTCTTTCTCTTTTCAACACTGAACACCAGCTAATTGACCTGACCAAATTACAAGAAACATAGAATAAGACAGCTAATCAGAAGACCAAAAGGAAAAACCAGCAAGATTTGGAAAATATTGTTCACATACATGGCCCCATGTAAGCAAGAAAAGGTTTTCCTTTCATACTTCTGGAAATCCTTGCTTCAAACTCAAACGAACAACTTCCCATTCCTGAGCCACCAGGGTTCACATTGTAAATGGAAAGCTCTTAGGGTTTCTTTTAAAGAAATGTATTAGGCAGGTTGCCTTTGAAGTTGTCCTTTTGAGTTATGTCATTTGAGTGCTCATTGTAACTATTGTATGCATTTATCTAATTCCGACTGCAATTATAAAAAGTAGATTAATTCCTAATCAGATGTGGCTGTAATGTTAATTTGTATTAGATATCTTATTTCAGCAAAAAAACTTCTTTTTGTCAAATTGAGTAAATTTAAATGCCTTCTGATTTTTTCATGAAATAGAGTCCCTACTGTATATTAAGGTACAGATTTTTTAGAGTACTGAGAGTTCTGAGGAGTAGAATCATGTGAAAATCATTATACTTATTTTTCAGAAAGATTGGAAATTGATCTTGACAGATCAATTATCTAGGATTCCTAGGCTGATCCTAGTGCTATTAAACTAAATGAAAAGCCTTTCATTGATATCAAATGGGGAGTTTTTCCACCAGCTTCAGAGTGGCTCATCACACTCCAGGTTCACTCTGTGAACAGGTTTCAGCTAAGTTCAAATCTCACAGTTCAAAAGTGAACTAGCAAGGAATGCACCAGTAAGAGGAACAAAATCAAGAAGCTAAAAAAGTCAGTAACAAGACATTGCCACTCACACCACAGAAAAACACAGTAAAAAAATCAAGGGAATCTGCATATCCCCTTAGCAGCAGTTTTTTCAGTAATTCTTTTATCTACCAGCCTCCGAACAGAGATGCTCATAAACCACCCAGATAATTGCTCCTGCCAGACTTCTCTGCCAAATCATACCTCATGGCTTCTTACAGAAAAACTCTTGTCTTCGAGCTAGAAAGCTACAGCAGAGCACAAACTGGTCTGGTGCTTACAGCATCATCCCCAAGAAACAAATAAACACTCAGGCAAAGCTAATGCTAAGGAGAAGCATTTACTTAATAGGCCAAAAGGGGCTTGGTCACTGAGAAAGAGTCCAAGTTCCTGTATCTGGTGATTTCCACCACACCAAGCAGACATATGCACAGTGATCATTCAGTGCTGTGATCATTCAGTGTGCAGAGGATAGAAATAAGCTTGGGGGGAGCCACCTTGCAAATGAAACCATGCCCCAGTTCCAGCTTTTCACTGCCACTTTTTCAGATGAAAAGAGGAAAATTACGGTGCCACTTCTAGGAATGTACAAAAATTCGTTACTGGGGAAAAAAAAAAGCACTTTGTAATGTAACAAAGCACTGACTTCTTTTCCAGTGGCATTTCAAGCGCCTTGCAGGTGGTGAGGATGAACAGCGGAGAGAGCTAGCCCTCAGCCCTGGGGTGGCCATGGAGGGGACTGGCTGCCTAACCCCCAACCCCACACCAGGAACTTCTCCAGCAAGTCTAGCTGGTGTGGCTCACTGATGAGCCTTGCAGCTTATAAAGCTGACAACAAAGCTGGAAGTATTACTATTTCTAATTGGGAATGCCTTCTTTAATAATAGCATGCCAGAAGAAACCCTGATATTTGCTGTTAGCTGCTCAGCTCTTGTGCTTTAAACAGACATTCAAGTGCGCTGACATTCAAGAACAGAAAGTTGAGTGGACACCAGTCCTCATCACAGCAATTTCAATTAGTTTTGTACAAGTTTCAACATTTAAACACCCCAGAGAAAGCAGAGGATGTGACAAAGAGGACTCTCTTAAACAATTAATGTCACTTTCCATTATTGCTTCAGTCCCAATTTACAGAGCAAATAAATCAAAGTCACCACAGATGAAACACACTAGCTGGCTAACACATGTCTATTCACAAACGACATGGCAGCAGGAACACATTAGTCAAGAAAATGACATTGCTAGATAACCTTTTAAAGGTTTAACTATGCTATTGCTCCTAATTGTCCTAAATTACTGTTTATAAAGAAACACAATTATTAGATACAGCAGAAATAGTGCTGAGGGGAGATGTGGAGGGAGAGATGGCCGAGTACATCAATGTCTGAGCAATAATCACTGAAGCAGCAGCTTTCTGCTTTGCTGTCACAACCTGAGTCTTGGTGTTGACAGCACTGGGGAGAAGCAAGCCACAGCCAAATGCAGGCTCTTTTGCGGTTTCCGCACTATCACCACAGAAGTTCACATTTCAGACTGGCATCCAACCTGCTCATCACACAGTCTCAGTGCATCAGGAGAAGCTGAGCACCTTCAATGTCCACCGAGGTCAGAGGATGCGCTGCGTGCTCTCAAGAACTCACTCCCCCATGTCCCTAACTTTCAAGCAGGAACACAATGAAAAGGTTTTCTTTTGTCTAAAGAAGGTGATCCTAAGCATTTAGACCACCTAAATGAACTACAGGTTGTAAGGAAAAGGGGTGGAGGAAAATTATGAATGTAAAGCTGCCGGGCAAATACATACAATTATTAAACACTTAAGAAAACAATTTGTAGCAACTGCATCTTGCTAACTAATGGGTCTTTTTAATGCACAAGCAGTTATGCATCACTTCCCAGCCATACTGCATGAACTTCTCAACATCCTTGGTTGTTAGCTTAACACAAAGACATCAGAGCCAGAGGTTTTTTGACCCCTGTAAACTTTCACCCTGCTGAAGAAGGCAAGGAGCCCAAGTATGTCACTGAATGCAGAAATGCTTCCACATTTCTGACGGCAAAAATTTCTAGTGTATCCATAATGGCATCAGCTCTGAAAAGAAGTACGATTTGGCACTGGTGTTACTGTGGTTGGATGAATGCAATGGGGAAGGCTAGCTAGTGCTGTAAACTGCCAGGACACCAACCAGTATTCAAAAATAAGCAAACTAGGAGCCTAAAAATGATGAAAAATTTCTAACTGTGCTCTTCTCTGCTTTTACATGTTTTGTTCTAATGCCTTAATATTTCTACAGCACTAAAAATAATTCTCTGTCTGAAAACACTTTATTAGTTGTGTAACAATCTTATTCTAATTGGGTTTCTGCCTTCAGTAAAATGTCTCCAGAGATATTCTCTCTTTGGCCAGTGAAAAGCTATATGAAATGAGTTGATAATTTACCCACACAAAGGTATTTAAATCCTCTACCCCTGATAATTCTTTCTCTTTTGCTTATTCTGCCTATTGATGGAGCCAGTGCACCTCATGCTTAATATTTTATGTCTGTAATACCTGTTACTTGTCGGCAATCCCATTGCAAAGGCCAAAGACTGAGCTGTAATGGAGACTAAGCCACCTTGTCTTTCACATGCATCCCTTTAGGGTGCATATATTGAGCAATGTTGTATTTTTTCCTTAGCATTTTCTTTCTTGAAAAGTTATGCAAAATTTTAAACCCAATGTCATTACCATCACCAGTCCCTTCTTGAAAACCTTGAGGCCAGCGTGCAGATGTCCTGACGTGGGACTCTCCTGTAGCTCTCCCACATTCAGCTGGTATGCTCAATCCCATCATTTAGAAAATCTTTTCCAAATATTAATAGTACCTGCAGCATCTCCCATCTGGTTGATTTCCCTCCACCTAATCTGAGATTATTACATGCACAGCTTTTTCTAACTATCTCAAGGAGTGAGATCAGCTAATAAATGATGATGCTCTAAAGTTTCTTTACTGATAATCTGAACAGTGCAGATTATACTGAAAGATCTGTTCATGATTCATGCTGAAAGATCAGGGTCTAAACTACGTGTTCAATCCACAGCCCCAAGAAGCTGGGAGCAGTGGCAGCTTGCCATATCTTTGTAAAAAGCCCAGGAAACTTTGGGACAGATCCACAGCTGGTAGAAGCTGTCACCACTCCAGCAGCCCAGCTTGGTAAGCAATTCAGAGCAGCCAGGTGTACACCTCAACACACAAGGGATCGCCATTTCAACATATCGACTCATTTCTCCTCAGTAGCCTAAGATCTATTCATAGCACAATTAACAAAGAAAAATAGAAGATTTTCCTCCAGCTGAAAATATCTGAGTGATCTAAAAATACTAATACATTAATTATGGCACTACTTTCAAAAGCACAAAAATGACTTGTGAGCACATCTGGGACACATTTTGGAATAAGAATGTCCTTAAGATTCACACCACTAGGAAAAATGAGGGGTAAAGATTTGCCCTTTTTTGCTCATAGGGATGCAGAGGCACTAAAAAGCTCAACACCACCACACCAGGCCTGAGAACATCCTGTCAACAAACATGCAGGAGTAGAGGCAGATGGTGTCTCAGCCCTGGCCCCTAAAACCAAGCCTGCCCACCTGAGGATAGGAAGCCACAAACTGGGCAGAAGCACAGGGAAGGTAGGAGGAGGGAAGGAATTAGAATGCAAGCTGGTCTTCCTGCTCCTGCCAGTGAAAAAAGAGAGCTGAGATCAGGGACGGTGAAAGGGAAGAATTATAGCCCAAGTTTTGCCTTTTCTGGAGCAGAAAGAGCCAACCTGCCACAGCACTGGAACAGATAGTGCTGCCATGGT